GGTAACTGGGGCCCGCGCTCGGTGCAGAAGTAGCGGAGCACGTTGGGGTGCCTGTCGGATTCCTGCAGCAGCTGCACCTCCCGCCGGACCAGGCCGAAGCATTCACGGAGGAGCCGCTTGACGGCCACCGCCCGCCCTTCGAACTGTCCCCTGGGAGGTGGCAGGCGGAGGTTCAGAGGGCAGATGAAGGAGAAAGTTAGGAACTGCACCCACCTTGGGGATTCTCTGAAAGAATGGCTCTCCAAGGGACAGGGGCCATCTCCAGCCCGGCGCCCGGCTGCCACTCACCGGTATACAAACGTTCCGCCTGCCCCGCGGCCCAGCACATCCTTGGGATTGAAGGAAATCTTCCCCACCACGGTGAGCTCAGCTGAGGGGACAGGCATGGGGGGAGGTCTCAGGGAGCCTCTGCTCACTGCCCACAGCCATCACCGTGCCCAGTCCAGACCCTCCCTGCCGCTGTGACCTTTCTGTGGCCTCCACCTTCCACGCCCAGCCTGCTGCCAGGCTGCCTGGGCCCAGTGCCTGGAGCTCCCCCTTGCTCTGTGTGTACTTGGGCAAGCGGCTTAGCCGCTGTACCCTGGTTTTCTCATCTGTGAAGTGGGACTAACACTAAGGAGCCTGCGTAGCAGGATTATGAGGATTAATAAAGAAAGGGGAGGGCAGAGGTTTGCTGTGCGGGCTTCTTTTGTCATTGTCCCTCTTTGGCATTTTTCTGACTAGGTTTCTTTCCTTTCCTTCCTCTGTCACCCTCCCCACCTCCACCAGTTACAATGAACCCTTTGAATGGAGGCATTGGCTTCAAACAGGAAGGTGAGTTTTGGCAGCTGGAAACATGGTGAGAGTGAGCGCTGTCTCAGAAAAGACTGTCCTGGACAGGACGGGGTTGTCCTGGACAGGAGGGGCCGGGCGGGAAGTGGGCATTTGGACGCTGAGCTGCCCCAGGGTTAGTTCTAGGGAGGCCTCGGTTTCCTGCCAAGAAGGGTGGGGTTGGCTAGGGCGGGCAGTGGACTCGTGTAGTTACTACTGTTCCTTTTCGGTAGCTTTCGAGAGACCCCCTCCCAGTGGCCCAGGCACGTCGGTCCAGGCAGGCTGAGCCCTGCCCAGCTCCAAGGGGCCCCATGCATACAGCCAAGTGTGTCTGGCACCCGCTGAGTTATACCCCCCTCAGTGGCCCTGAGAACACTCTCCTTAGGAAGAGCTGCCAGCTTTGGTCTCTCTAATCAGCTCTAGGAAAAGTCAATGAAAATTAGCATCAGAGATCAGTATCGAGCTGTCCCTCAGCACTGCTCTGAATTATTTACTTAAACAGTCACTCCCATCTGTCGATGAAATGCAAGCAACAACCTGATCCGTGTGCGCTGGACCCTCCGGAGTGTGGGCTCGGGGCTGGAAGCACATCACCCACAGGTGAGATGTGCCTGCCTCTCTGGCAGCTCAGAAAGCAGGGACAGAGGGGCTCAAAAGCCTATTTGAACAAGCGCAGCTCAGCCGGCTCCAGGTGCGGGTCCCTGAGCACTTCTGGCCCCTCTTGGGTACCACTCACTTGGTTCTGCTTGGTTCTTGGTCCCGTCTCTGGCACGCCTGCCTTCCCTGCTCTGGATGCCCTTGGCGTGAGGTAAACACTCTCTGCACGCTTTCTGGGTTAAATATTCACATGCACCCTTGACGCCGGGATGGAGGCCACACTTCAGGCCACAAAGGCCTTGAGTGCAGAAATAACAAGGGGGGAGGCTCTGTCTGCACACACGTACTCACCATCACTTGCTCAGCCTTCCCTATCGTGATGATGGGGAAGCAGCAAAGGCCGGAGAGAAGTTCTAAAGCAGAGTCAACAGCTGTCACGTGAGGGGGAAATGGTGTCGAGGCAGAACTCCCCCTGGAAACCCTGAGAACACGTGATGCCTTGCGTTGCTCCTTTACACGGGTTGGGAAGCCCCTGAAAGTCGGTCACGCGCTTTCATGGGCATCACCACCAAAGTGCAAACAGAACTACTGTCCCACAGCTGACCTGCCTTGGAGTCCCTGAGCTGCCACTTACTGGCTTTGTGTGTCTGCGGTGGGGGTGCCATGGACCTTCCTGCCTTCATTTCCTCTTCCTTAAAAATAAAATAAATGTTACAACAGCAAGCCACCTCCGGGAATGTTGTGAATATCTCACGAGTTCATGCCTGCACCGTGCTTACAACAGTGCCTGGTACACAGGAAGTGCCATACAGTGTCAGCTCTGTGGTAGCTCTGGTTCAGGCTTGACTGCATCCACTTACTGTTGAATACACCACGTAGCCTGAAGGATGCCCAACCAAGCCTGGGGAGATGAATTGGTGGAAGTTAAATGAGAGTAGGATGTGACTCCAGTGTAGATTTTGTGAACCAATAAAAGGCCTTGAGGAACGCCCCTCTCCCCGCATCAAGGGGAGGACCAAGATTTCCAAGGTCAGTGTTCTTGACATAGACATTCTAACCAGAGGTTAGAGGCTGCCACGAGGTGCTGGCGCTGGAGGGCTTTTCGGAGAGTGGTTCTCGAAGATTTTCTGTCATCGGCCACATTCGTTTATTTGACTCTCCCTGCACTAAACCAAGATTTTGATGCACTGGACTCCAAATAGCTGTATATCACATGGGCACGTCCCAGACTATTAACTGTAACTCTCTCTGTTCCTCACACCTGCCCAGCACACATTCACTCCATCTATATTTACTGAGTTGAGAATGGCTGTTTAAGACTCTCCAGGGCCCATTGTCAGCCACTGATTTCCCCTGAGCTATGCTCTGTGTTGATACTGTAGCAGTAAACAAGGCAGGCTTTACCACAGCAGTTCAGATCAGGCGTGTGTTTTCCAGTTTGCCACAGTCCCCACCACTCCCTATTCTCTCTCCCACGTGGCTGCTTTGCTTGTTTACTTTATCCAGTTGGCCCACCCGTGAGCCAATAACATCACCAGGTATGATTTAATAATAATGGGGATGGGAACCTCTCATCACAAGGTGATGTAACAGGGTAGGTGTTATTAGTCCCATTTGACAGATGAGAAAACAGAAGCTCAGACGAGTTAAGCAATTCATCAAAGTTAACAGAACTGGGTAAGGATCTAACTCCTCTATTTGCATCTAGGGTTCTCGAAAAGGACAGCAGTAAAATGATGGCAAGCCATTTCTAGCAGGCTCAACTACGCAGCAGGCACTATTCGAAGTGCTTTCCAATTAACTCATTTAGGCTTCGCTACCCCACCATAACGGCTTCTAACAAACCGACTTTGAAGCTAAACCTCCCCTCTTTTCTGTCCCCGACTCTCCCCTTTCCTGTTCACACAAGCTCACCTTCAGGGTCTTCGAGGGGCTGGTCTTGCTCTGAGGGGTTTGGAAGCCTCTTCTGGCTCTGTGGGGTGGCCCCCGAGGGCTGGCACTGAGCTTCCGGTGAGATGTGAGAAGGGCCTGCAGGTGCCAGGGGGGCCTGCTGCTGCTGCTTCTCCACCACCAGCTGCTGCTGCTGAAACATGAGGGCCTGAGCCAGCCTGGCCCTGGAGCGTTAACACACAGAGCACAGGATCGGGGGCTCGGGGAGCTGCTAAAAGGAAGACAGTGGGCCGAATCGGATCTGGGTCGGGGAGAAAGTTGCTAAGTGGCCTTGGAGAGCAGGAGCAGAGTTGCCCCTAGGAAGACTGTGAGATGGACCTGAGGTCGCGGGCAATGGGCTTACCTGCCTCATCAGGAAGAGAATCCACCCTCCCAGGAGGAGGGCAGTGAGGCTGGTTGCCAGCAGGTCTTGAGTTCCCAGTCCGGGGTACAGGCCTGGGGTTTTCTCTTCCGGATGCAGCTGTAGGTTCGAAGGTTCCTCTTGGGTCAGGCTCAGGAGCTGGGGACAAAGAGACTTTCACTCTTAGCAGCCCCTCCCACTGTGGACCCCCTAAGTAACCCTTCTGCATCACCCAGCACAGGGCTGGGCTTAGCTGAAGGGGTGGTAAGTGAGTGGTCTGGTGGGAAACGTGGCACTTTCCACGGTGAAACATCACGGCGCCCCAGACGATCGTCTTTCAAACCTAGCTGAGGGCCAGCGTCTCCTGTAGTGTCGCTAAAAAATACAGATACTCCTGTGGCATCACCAAAAAGTGCAAGTATCCACCTCCAGAGATTCTGGATTCAGTGGGGCTGAAGTCAGTGGCTTCCAGGTGATTCTGATGAGCAACAAGATTTGAGAGTCATTTCTCCAGCTCATGCCTGTTCTTTCTAACCTTGAACTACTGGCAACTCTTGTCCAGTCCTCTCCCAGGAAGGCATGCTTTTACGATTTTTTCTGTTTTCATTTTCTCACTTGTTAAATATTTTGTAAACTTTCAGTTGAAGAAGAATAAAGAAAACTGTGACCCACGTTTCACAATTTAGGTAGCCAGTAACTTTTTGACACTTCTAGCACGTCTCTGACAATAACCAAAGTTAAGTTTTCTTCCAAGAAGTTGTGTGAGGTCAATTGACTCTCTCTTAAGTGTTATTCCTAGAAACCCAAGGAAATGATCCAAGGGCTGCCTAGCCGCTTGCTGCCTTTCCCTGCTTTCCTCTGCCCTTTTAGCACTGACCTCCAAGAAGACAGCTGGGGCCTGAATGCTCTCTGAGGGTCTGGTCCCAGAAGTCCCACTCTCTGGGGTGGGATGGACCCTCAGCATGGTGGTGTGCAGGACTGGAGGTGGCTCATGGTGTCCTGAGGGGCAGAAGAAACAAGTCAGTGGGCTGAAGGCAACCTCAGCCTTCCAGCTCAGAACCTGGGCTCACAGGTCCCTTACTCCAAATTTGGGCTAGGAGTCTCACCAATGAGCAGCCACTGGCTGGGGAGGGCCACGCTGCCTGAGGGGTACCTGACAGCAGTGCTAGGTGAGCCCTCTCTCTCTCCTGAGACTTGGAGTGTCACCTCATCTGTGGTGGGGCCATCTGTGGGGGCCAGGGTCAGTCCACGAGGCTATGGCAGAAGATGGAGAGTCATGAGTCGGGGGAGGGCTCCTCTCCTGCTCTCATCCCCTCTTTCCAGCCCCTCAGAAACCCCCTTCTCACCACTAGGGCCACCCCTGTGTGAACCAGTGCTTTAGAGACATAGAAGCCAGCTTCATCCTTACCCACATACAGCGTCATCCTAGTGGGGGAGAGGAAAAGTGGAAAAGAATGAGTGATGGTTGTGGATGGTTTCAGTTCCCACAGTATCCATGTCTGTGCCCCCTCCCACACTGACTCTGGACTTGGCCATGTCACTTGCTTTGGCCAATAAGGCAATAGATAATGTAAGACATAACTAGAGGCTTGAGAACTGCTTGTTCTTCGGGGCTTGACCTCTCACGTTGTTCTTTGGAACTCTGAGACCACCATGAAAGGAAACCCAGGCTAGTGTGTGTGGGCATGAGAGATCTTATTTGACATCTGAGGGCTAAATAATCCACCAATCATGGCACAGGATGAGTAAAGCCATTCTAGATGGTCCAGGCTGAGCCAAGCCACCAGCTGATTCACAAAATCTTGAAAAATTATAAATTTTGAAGCTCTAAATTTGGGGGGGGTTGTTTGTTATGCAGCAAAAGCTAACTGATACAAACTCTAGAGTCACTGTTTCTAAATCTGTTTCTAGCCCAGACCACTTTCAAGAGCTCAGTTTTTTAAATCTGAACTCATCACCTCATTCCTTGCCTGCTCCTCCCCTCTTCCTCCTCTAATGTTCCCTGCCTCTGAAATGACAGCAGTCATGTGCTTCTGCATAACTGTTGACTCCGCTCACAATCACCAAAACTCTCTAGTCACCAAATTCTTACTGGTTTTCCCTCTTAGTATCTGTTGCCCTCCACGTGTTTCCATCTCTGGTGTTTCTGCCCTGGTTCAAAGTGTCTTCATCTCTTGCCTGAACTAATGCGATATTCTATGTGTTCACTTCCTCCCTTGTGACTCTAAGGTGTTCTTCACCCTGCAGCCTGGTCGATATGATCAAATAACTTCTCTGCCTAAAACCCTCCAGGGACTTCTCTTTAGCCTTGTCCCAAACGCTTTAAATGATCCTACAAGATTCCTGCTTAACAGCCTCAGACCTTATTCCCTGCTCAGAGATATTCTCCAGCCTTATTCAATTTGTTAATTCAACCTGTTCCCTGGTTGTCACGATCCCCCTCTTTCTCCCTCTCCCTTTCATTTCCTATTCATCCTTTAGGTTTCAACTTATATGTCCCTTCCTCTAGGGAGCTTTCTATGACTGCCTCCTGCCCCCAGGCTCAACTTAGGTGCCCCCCATATACATTCCCATGACACTGTATACTTCTCTTATCTCCTCTTTTATTATATCATATTATGGTTGCCTCTTGACACAGCTCTCTGCCCTACTGGACCCTGAGATTTCTGTAGGTGGGAACACTGGTTATATCATTGCATTCCCAGAGTGCAGACTGCTCCATAGCAAGGGCTCAGCTCATGTCTGTGGAATGAACTGAGCGAATGGATAATCCCTGATTTTCCCAGTCTGTCTCCTGGTGCCCCAAGATGGGGACACTACGGTATTTGGTGCTGTAAGGAAGGGTCATATTTAAACTTTTTAACGACCAATAAACATACAGTACCTACCAAGGAGAACAGGTGCCAGCTATAGCACTGGGGTGGAGACACGGAGGCCCCTCCTAGGCCAGATCTTACCCTATCAGTTGCTGAACAATGGGTTTATCCGGGGGATCCTGGGAGCACATGGTGGGTGGTGCAGGGCACTGATTATTCACCAAACTGTTTGTAAGGTTTTGACCCCTGCTTCAGCTGAACTGGTGTGTCATGGTGGAACTTCACGCCTGCGCACTGCACCTGGGCTGCACCACGGCCAGAGGCCCCGGCCCCCAGGCATGCGCACTTACAGCAGCTGAGTGTCCAAGGCAGAGAAGTGGGTGGCTGTGTCCTGGGGGCCTGAGGCAGGCAGTCGGATGTAGCCCCAGCGGAGGGCGAGGAAGTGCAAGGTGTCGCGAGCCAGTGTGAGATGAGGCAACTGGCGCAGGCTGTCCTGGTGCCAGGTGTAGATGCCCGTCACGGGTACGCCCAAGTCCTGGGTCCACAGCACTGCTCCGCTCCCCGGGTCCACAGTCAGCAGCAGGCCGATCCCACAGGACGCCAGGTGGCTCATGTCTGCCAAGAAAGGTGGCTGGGGAGATGCGGTCAGGGAGCTTGACCTGCGGCATCTCAGAGCATCTTGAGCGGGAAGGCTGCTCTGAGGGTGGGCCATCGGGAGGGCCACTCAGGTGTGTGGAGGTCAGGTGAGATCACTTGGAGGGTGATCAGGACATGGGAAGTTCACTGGGTCACTTCGATCAGTTGGGGTCAACTGGGCAGCAGTATGAGGTAGAGGGGTCTGGCAGGGTCAACCAAAGGTGACTGAGGTGTGTGACTCGGCCCTTGTTACTTCAGAGAGATGTGGGGTAGTCAGTCATGCGCTGGCTGCTGGTCAACAAGGGTGGTCTGGAGACATGCGGGTCACCTGGGAGCCATTCAGGACCTGAAGGGGGTCAGTCAGGGGCCCTGTGGGTGTCACCTGTGATGTGTCAGGGTCACCTGCATGAGTTCTCATGTGGAATGATGAAGTCAGGGTATGAGCGGTGGCTTAGAGGCACCTGTGGGGTCACTCAGGCGTTTGAGTAGGGCAGTCATAATACCAAGGGGGTGGTCAGTCTGTGGGAGGTCACTAAAGGTCATCTGTCAGGGGTCATTCAACATTGGGGGTCAGTTAGAACACGTACGGACTGCTCAGGGGGTGCAGGGGTTGCTTGGAGTCCCTCAGGACGTGCAGTGTCGCCCAGCGTGACCTGGGTGGGCTCGCCTGGACTGTGAAGGAGTTAGGGTGCTAAGGCTGCTCAGGGTGCAGGAGGGTCGGGCTGAGGGGGGTCACTTAGGGCTGCCCATCAGGGGTGTGCCGTTCAGTACACGGGGTCCCTCGGAGGTCAGATGGGTCTGAATGTGGTGGGGCTTGGTCGTGGATGCCACTCAGGGTTCCCCGAGCTGGGGAACTTGCTCCCAGGTGGGGCCAAAGAAAGGAGGAACTCACATTTCCCAGGCGAGCCATCCATGGGGGGCGCTGAGTAGCGGCGGTAGGTGGTGTTCCAGCGCAGGGCCGGGGCTCTGGGGTTGTGCATGGTGACCGTGTACTCTGGGGATGCCCGAAAGCAGGGTTACCAGGAGCGCCCATGTGACACTCCCCCACCCCGACCCAGGGGACGTCATCTTATGGGGTTTGGGGCTTCCTGAGCACCCGGCCTGGAGGCCAGAGTCTGAGCATCACATGGCGGAAGCTGGGTCTGTTTTGGTTACTGCTGTGTCCCTAGCTCCTTGTTCAGTGCTCAGTGAAGTGTTTGTTGACTGACAGATTGATTGGCCCAGACTCAGGCCAGTTGGATAGCAATTGCCAGGTCTGGGCAGAGCAAAAGCGGGGCTGCCCGGAGCTTGGGGAGCAGCTGGGGCCTGACTCACGTGTCCGGCCGATGTAGAGGCGAGGGGTAGAGGGTTGCTCTGTGGTTAGCGTCATCTGTGTCTTCCCTGACTCAGGGTCCACCACAAACCAGGCATCCTGCTTCCGGCCTGTGGAGGTGGAAAGTGTGCCCGCTCTCAAGATGGCCTGGAGAGGGGGTGCAGCCTGTCCGTCCTGACCTAGGTCCCATCCCTGCTAGACCTGGACTCAGAGGCTGGAGAGATGCTTACCCGTATAGAAGACACCATCAGAGCTGCGACACGGGGAGGCATGAACCAGCTCGGGGACGGTGAACGGCAGTCTCTGAGGAGCAGGAAGAGCAGAGAAACACATACAACCTGTTCATTAGGTACAATTATTATAATACCCATTTCCAGAAAGGCTAAGTAACTTGGCTAATGTCACACAGCTGGAACATAGCAGAGCCAGAGACAGTCTGGGCCCCAGCCAGGCAGCTTCCAGAACCCGCACACTTAACCACTCTGCTACATGACCCCTTACGGAGCTGCAGCAAATCCCACACCCAGTGCCAAGATGCCACCTGATGTCTTGATCCCGGCCTGACAACTTCCTCAGAAACACTTGCCAAGACTTTAAAACTTCAATGGCTGTGACAGCTTCAGGGAGGCTGCTCCAGGTTAAAGGATACCCAAGAAACATTAGGACCAAACTCAAGGGGCCATCCTGGTTTTGGACTGGAAACAATAAAGGGCACCACTGGGACACTTGACAAAATTAATATGGACTGTGGATTAGATAGCACTATTGCATCAACATTAAATCTCCTAATTTTGATAATTTACACTCAGGCTATTGTGTGTTCCAGGAATATACAGCGACACTTTAGGAATAAAGGAGAATAGTGTCTGCAACTCATTCTCAAATAGTTCAGAAAAAGAAATTTTATATACACAAGTATATTATTTATCTACCTATTAAGAGAGAATGGTAAACTGAAAGTGATAAGATGTTAAAAAATGGATGAATTTGGGTATAGGGAATAAAGAATTTCTCTGTACTATTCCTGCATTTTTTTTCCCTTATGTTTGAAATCATATCAAAGTAAAAAAAAAAAAAATCCCAAACTCCACATACTGCGCTTTAGCCAGACAGCATCCCAAGCGCAAGGAAGTACCTACCGAGAGGAAGAGAATTGGGGCTTCCCGGGGCAGAGTCAGGATCCACAACAAGAGTCAACACAACCTGTAGTTGATGTGTGAGCTTACACTGTGCTTGGGGAGCACGTGAAGTTGAGGGTGCCTGATGCAGATGCGGGGACTGAAGAAGGGCTGACAGGCAAAGTTCAGTTGTTCATTCATTCATTCATTCAACTGCTGTTTGATGAGCAGCTATCACTAGCCAGGTGCTGGGACCCAGTGATAACTAAGTACCTTTCTGCACAGAATTACATTTCTGGTGTGTGTGTATGAGGGAAAGATAGTAAATAAAAACACATGAACCATAATGCCAGGTGGTGGTAAATGCTATTAAAACAAACAAACTCAGAGAACTAGGAGAGGGGGTGATTTGACATAGGGCAGCCAGGGAGTAAGACCCCAAGCCAAGTGAGGCGTGAGCCTTAGGAAACGTGGAGGGAGAGCCCTCTGGGCAGAGGGACAGATTGCAGAGATCGCCGGCAGGAGCAGCAAGAGGGAGAGGGGATGGGGGGAGAAAAGTGGCCAGAAGTCAGGTCAGCTGGGGGCAAGGTCATAGGTGGGGATGGAGTTTGGATTTTAAACTGGGACACAGGGGATGAGCAGGAAACGGCTGGGGGAAGGGGCGCACTTCTCACAAATACTCTGGTTCTTATTCTGGGCTCTGGGTGGGAACATACTGCTCTGACTGCCTAAAGTGGGCACAGCCATGAGATGTGCTTTAGCCAAAGGGAGGGAGCGGAAGAGACACGTCACTTCCACACGGACACGCCAAGAGCAAGTGTGTGGTTCATCACCACGTTCCCCTTTGCTGTTTCGGTGACGAAGAAGCTCAGGTTCTAGCAGCTTGGGTCTCCAGGAGACCACAGGGCACAGAAGCTCGAGGACCGACGCGGGTCACAGGGTGTAAGCAAGGGCGCAAGCTCCGGGGAGCCGCGGAGATTTCAGTGTGCTGTTACTGCAGCGTGCTCTGGCCGATCCTGACTGAGTCCGGGAAGCAACGGCAGAGTGAAAGAGGGTTCCAGACGGTGGGGACAATTCAGGTGAAGCCCCAGAGCTGGCATATTCAGCAAACTGAACGGTGTGCGTGCGTGCAGGTGTGTGTGCACACGTGCCTGTAAGTGAGCGATGAGGCTGCAGAGTGAGGTGGCCCAGATCCCAGATGGCCTGACGTGCTTTGTCAGGGAGACTGGACTTTATCCCAGGCGCAGCGGGAGTGATGGGACAGACAACCACACCTGTCCCACTGAGGCCCGATGACAACCCCCGGCGGTGGACAGGACTGGAGGCCCACTCGCTGCCCCACTCACTCCCCAGGAGACATACTCGTTTGGATTCAGTCAGCGGGCACCCTACGCTCTGGCTTCCAGGCGGGCTGTGAAAATGGGGAGGAGGCAGGACCAGGGTATGTGTTCCCCGGTCTCCTCTCCCCAATCATGGTGGGCTGGCTGCGTCCCTCCCTCAAAGACCTCAGCCCCTGCCAGGTGGCCCTCTAAGCCTGCCCCCTCTGGTTCCAGGTTGTGGTAACTGCTTTCCCTCCCTATGAGCTTAGGGCTGATAATGGCACCCCACGTTCATGGGCCACAGAACATGGCACCCTGCCTTGAGGTTTCCCATACTCAGCCCACACCTTTGTAAATAATCCCGTAATAAAACCTCCTCAAGCTCCCCTTTTGCAGCGTGCCATCCATTTGCTGGGACGATGCCTGTCTACACATGGACATTTCTCACCAATTCAGTTTCCTAAATCACATACCTAGACCTTCCTGGCAGGGAAACCTGGCGCAGTCAGAATCCTGACCATGCCCGATTCTGCGCTTGGCCACTTGACAAGCTTTGGCTGATGAGACATTAGTGAAAGTGATACACTTGGCCCTCCCTATCCGTGGGTTTTGCATCCGCAGATTCAACCAATTGTACATCGAAAATATTTGGGGGAAAAAAGTTCCAGAAAGTTCCAAAAAGCAAAACTTGAATTTGCCCCTCCAGACAGCCTTCCCCTAGTGCTCTCAGACTTACTCCTCTGCAGGACACTCAGATTCTGACCATAAAGCCCCCTCTGCCCCCTCGGTGCTCTGGCTAACAGAAGCCCTGGCCCTCGCCCACCCCAAGCACTGAGGGAAACACACCATTAATCCCTGTTGTTTCTGGGTCCCCAAGATGTACAGGCTGCCATCAGCTGGGTCTGAGAGAAAGGCTGTCCTGTGGGGCAGAGAGGAATGGGATAAAGTTGGATACACGCACCCTGGAGGCAAGAGGCCCCCTTTCCCTTCAACTTCCCTGCAGGTAGGTGCCCACCCTTGCAGGAGGTACCACAGGGCTCCAGACCCAAATGTCTTCCCTTACCTCCAGCATACCCACCCCTCCCAGCAACTATGGCTTCCCCATCTCCCAGCTGCCTGCTCCTTAAAAGACTGAAGGTCCACTTACTCTGTGACGTACATTGGCCCTTGGATGATAGGATCTGCAGGGACAGGGACACAGGCATGTGCAGCTCCCTCCAGACTCCCCGTTAAAAGACATACCCCATATTGGGTGCTTGCTGTGTGCCAGACGCCAAACCAAGCGTTTGACATGAGTGTGATGTTATCCTCCCAAGAACTCTGTGAGGTAGGGTCGTTATCCTTAGTCCCATTTTACAGGTGAGGACACTGAGGCTCAGAGAGGTGAAGTGACTTTCCCAAGGCCACACAGCTGGTAAGCAGCGAAGGTGCCTGCAGACACCTGCTGGTTGGATTCTAGGCCCCATGTTCTTGCCCTCTACACTGACCTCCCTCCGCCCCGACTCGGGGCCAAGGTGGGAGGAATGACTGCCCTGCTTACCACCCTTCAGCGTCCACTTCAAGTCCCCCGTCTGCCTGTTCAGTGCGTGGAGACTTCCATCCAGGGTGGACACGAACAGGAGGCTCTCTGACCTGAAGGTCTGGACCTGCAGTGGAAGCAAAGTCACCTCTTCTGAGAGGCCTGGGACCACCTTAGCCCTTGCTCCAGGCAGGGCTGGCTGTGACTCCCTGTCCCCCAGAGGGAAACAGGAAGAATGACTGGGGAAGCTGCTGGCTCTAGCCACTGATCTCCAAGACCCTAGAGAGGAGTTACGGTGGAAGCTGGGGGACCTTGGCTCCTTTACAAAAGGACTTCAGTGACGCTTACAGCCTCCCTAAGAGATCAGTGCTATTATTCACACCACTGTGCAGGGGAGGGAGGCTCATTCTCCGGAAGGTGGGGTGAACAGCCGAAAGCCACGCAGGTAACAGACAGCAGAGCTGGGGCTTGAACCACCATCTCTCTGGGTCCAGCGCTGATCACCTTCTCCTTTGCCTCACTGTCTGCTTCTCTGGGGAAGACCCATTCTGCCTCCCCAGACCAGTCCGGCTGCTTTTGGTGCCAGGCCCCAGCGGGCCCCTTGAACCAAGGCTGGTGGGGGAGGGGGGTGCACAAGGGAGGGAGGGAGGGCTGGTGCTGCCCTTACATTTGGCCCCTGCTGGGCTCCCTCACCTGCTGCAGCCCCTCCTTGAACAAACAGGGTGGGGCTGAGCTCCTAGTAGGAACCCTAACATCCGGGTGGCCCAGCCGCGCCCTTGCAAAGGCCACGTCCTGCTCTGGGACCCTCAGGTTTGGGGTGGAGCAGCGGTTCAGGAGCAGTCAGGAAACTGCCTTGTATCCCTCTCTTTCCTGGGCCTGATTTGTGATCTGCAACGTGGCAGCCAGGAGAGGGGTCTGGAGAAGACACTGCAGACTGGTTGGCCACGGTTGACCACTATCGTGTTTTTAAAATGTGGTTTTAATTAGCTACCAATTAAAAAATTGGAACGACTTCACTTTTTAAAAAATGAAGATTTCTAATTTTTCTCATTTCTGGTCTTTATTTTTTTTCTCCTCATTTTTTCCTAGAAACACCCAATCTGGCCACACCGTGTTCACATTCACAGCTGGCAACCATGAGGTGAGTCCAGAGAAGTGACAGTGAGCATGGAGTGGCATGAACAGTTAGCTCTCCGATTTCATTAAGTGTTTGGGGGTTCTGAGGCTGGCGGAGTCGGCTCCAGTCCCGCCTTGGCCTTCTGGCTGCTGAAGACTGGGCTTTTCCGCTCCCAGCAGGGCTGCAGCGGATTCCCATCCCTCGAGCTTATTTATCCCAGAGCTTGTGAATCCCAGGTCCAGTCACAGGTAAGGGGGGAACCTTGCCATCCTCCTGAATTTGTCTGTAAAACTGAGTGTGGGCACATTTTTCGACAGAGGACCTTTAAGATGATCATAAGTTCTAAGGAAGCCAGGATTCCAGAAATTTTAGGAGGCCTGGCTGGAAAGCCAGGGTCCCCTCGGGAGGGCTGTTCCTTCCACCCACACCCCCAGTGCTGCAGGAGGGGTGGGGTGTTGGGTCTACCTGGCATGTCTCTCCAGCTAGTGGGGTACCTGGGAACTCCCCAGAGCTAGGGGGCTTTCGCTGGCCAGGGGCCGACTTGGGGCATCCCGGATGCCTGGGAAGGCGGGGCGCCCCCTGTGGCCCCGCAGCGCCCCAGCCGCCTGCGTCCCGGAACCCGACCTTGCAGGCTCCCCGTCCGCCCGCTTCTCACCTGTGGCCCGAGCGTCCCCAGCAGCGCCACGAGCTGGAGCAGGAGCGGTGGCCACGGGCCAGCCCCCTGGGCCATCCTCGCCATAGGCCGCATAGACGGCAGCCACACGGCTGGCCCGGTTCCTCGGTGCCTCCAGGGCACAACACGGCTTCCCGGGACGGAGGTGACTCCGCCCCGTGCTGGGCCGGCTGGGTGCGCAGAGGCCGGGCGCGACCTCAGCCCGCGGGCCGCCCCTTCCCCCGCCCTTCCCAACACACACCCGCATCCCGCTCCCCGTCACCCCGCGAGGGATGGCTCTGAGCTTTCCCGGAAAAGGGATTGTACCAACTGAGGTCCTTCATGGGGAAGTTACCACCCGCCAAGTGTTGTGCCAAATGTGTATGTCCACCATTCACTCATTTAATCTTCACAGCATTTCCGATGTTAAAGCTCCGGGTCAGAACCCGAATTCAGATTCAGACTTCTGACCTCAAAGCTTGTGCTCTTTGTTATTAGGGTGGTGGCCTCGACTGAGAGGTGATGAAATACAGATTAATTGGTTGACTCAGTTATTCATTCAATAAATATTTATTTATTATCCCAGCCTGGTACGCAGGAGAGACAAGGTCCTTGTTTTCGTAGAACTTACAGACTCCTAAGTGTTAGGCGTCAGACCTGCACATCAAAGTGTGCCTTGCTACGGCAGTTACAGTCTTAGCTGCAGGCAGACCTCCCGGACTGCAGGGGTCCAGTTAGTTTTCAAGCTTTGACTCAGTCATTTCTCCTTCTTCTTTGTGTAAAAAATCCCTGCTGATTTGACGATCTTGCAACCTGACTCTGCCACCATCTCCCTCTCCCCTCTTTGTCATCCTTGGCCCTCTTGGTCACACCCCCACAAGTCACTGAAGATTTTGCCAGCTGGCCCATAGCTTTCCTTTCCACCCGAGATCTTCCCACCATCATTGGTGTCTTCGGTGTCACCTGCTCCTGCATGCTGACCCTGACCCATGCTGTAATCAGCTTGTAATCACCCAAGCTTGCTCAAGTAACCCCAAGTAAATCTTGCCTGGCTGGCATCCTCATTCCTCAGCTGTCCCGAGGGCAGGCTGCTAAGGGCTCACATGTGCCCACTTCCCTACAGAATTGCCCCTGGCAACTGGAGCAGCCCAGTGCCCCTGCCCATGATGGGCTGACATGGGGGTACAAAAGACTGGCCCCTTTGCTTCAAGGTGGAGCCAACTCTGTGCGGTGCAATTTATGTTCCAGAGGTCCCCGTGGGATCAGGCTGAAGCTGGTCTCCAGCTGAGACCCCTCCTTACCGTGGCTCTTCCTCTGCCCATCCTGCTTCTCTCACCCCCATTAGAGAGTTCTTTCCAACATATCACTTGAGCAAGAACCCCTGTCTCAGGCTCTGTTTTTAAGAACATCCCAAATCTAAGGCTTTCTTTAACCATATGGTCATCAAAAGCCTTGGAAAACCCAATTGGCTCATGGCAGAAAAACCTCCTTTAGAAATATGTACATCGTGGGGTCTTTGGTTCGCTTGGTTACTCCTTCGTGCTGAGCTGTTCCATTGCACTCAAATTAGCATGGAAATCCTAACTTGATAACAAAAAAATGATCGCTTGCCACTCTAGAAACCAACCCATGCTACCAAGAATGTGAATGAGCCCTCCTTTACACTTTCTGTTTTGTACACTGTACATTTATTTGTTTTGGAATGTACATTGTGTTTGTTAAGTATGCTTGGATCCACAGGAATGTCTCATGTGATAAACTTGATTTGAATAGAATACAAACTACAAGTGAACTGGAACAGATAATTGTGTGTGTGTATGTGTGTGTGTGTGTGTGTGTGTGTGTGTGTTGATATAAGTAATATACATTCTAGAAACTTTGCAAAACTAAAAAAAGAAAAGAAAATTCATTCATGTTTCCACCTTCTGGAAATGGAGTATCTCTGTTAACATTCTGTCGTATTTCCTCCAGTGTTGTTTTTCCAGTGCCTATAGGTCTGGTGGATACTGTGTTGAAATATTAACAACATTTTCCCCTCCAGAGCTTTTTTTCCCCCTGACAGCCCTTCTCCTAATCCAGCAAGGCTGCTCTGAATTTATTATCTCAGAGAAGGGATGAGGAAGCAGAAAGAGAGAAAATGAAGCTTTTTTTTTAACCTTTTGAGTTTTTGTATAACTCATAGCATGAACCGAGACCTAAGAGAATAAGTAATGAGAGTAGAAGATTCCCCAGACACAGAGAGGAAGGAGAATAAGGAGGAGCAAGGAGTGAGAAGATGCTGCAGGTTCCTGAGAAAGGGGGACCATTCTGCAGCCCCCTTACCCCAGGACGGGACCCCACATAGACTTGTGGGATCCGAGAGAAGGGGGATTTGTGTCTCGCTTTCTGGGTAGGCGTGCTGCGTGCTGTGTCTGGGCAGAGAGGGGACATTAGGCAGGTTCCCACTGTCCAGTGTGAGATGGAGGTGGGGGGATGTTTCCTACATGCCCGAGGGAGGGGAGAGGGAGGGAGTGAGCAGGAGGGAAAGACAATTCAGAAAGAAAAGCGGGACAAAGCAGCAGAGACCAGTAAGGACAAGAGGCAGGACACAATGAGACCATGGGCATCTCAGGGGATGCTGGCTGGCAGAAATGATGACAAGGACTCAGCGCCCCTTGCTTCCTGGTACTATGTTAACGCCATGGAATTTAAACCCACCCTGGAGAAAAGCTGGGAGAAGCCAGATGGGAGTGAATTTCTTCCACCTGGCACAAAGGGAGCTTAAAATAAAAAGTTATATTGAGTTATAAAGACATAAAGTTGTATTTATTCACCACACCTCGGTTTGTGCTCTGCTTCTAGACACATACATAATCCAAAAGCTTTTCTCCATTCTAGCAAACGAATGGAGAAAACAGAAATAGTAATGGGAAAAATATTCCGATCATGATAATAATAAAAAGGAAATCCTTAGGAATAAATTTAACCAGAAAGGCATAGAACCAGGGGGGTGTGGGAGGAGTATAGCTCAGTGGTAGAATGTGTGCTTGGCGTGCACAAGATCCTGGGTTCATTCCCCAGTGCCTCTGTTATGGAAAAAAGCAAGGCACGGGACCTATATGAAAACTACAAAACCCTATGAAAGCTATAAAACTAAAACAAAATATGAATACATAAAGAGATATGACCCTGTGTGGGAAGACTTAATATGATTAAAATATCAATTCCCTCTAAATAAGACAGAGGAAGACAAATACTGTAAGGTATCACTTACATGTGGAATCTAAAAAAACACAACAAACTAGTGAATATAACAGAAAAGAAACAGACTCACAGATGTAGAGAAGGAACTAGTGGTGACCAGTGGGAGGAGGGAAAGAGGGGAGGGACAAGGTGGAGGTGGAGGATTAAGCGGTACCAACTCTCAGGTATAAAATAAGCTACATGATGTATTGGACAACATGGGGAAAATAGCCAATATTCTGTAGTAACTATGAATGGAGTATAACCTTTAAAAATCTCTGAATCACTATACTGTATACCTGTAACATATAATATTGTACATCAATTTACTTCAATTTAAAAAACATGATATTGTAAAATAAATGCATAACTAAATGAAAATGGTTAAATATGAATTCTCAGTGGGGGAAGGTGTAGCTCAAGTGGTAGAGTGCATGCTCAGCATGCCCGAGGTCCTGGGTTCAATCCCTGGCACCTCCCCTAAAAACAAACAAACCAACCTAATTACCTACCCCATCAAAAAAAAAAAAAAAAACACAACCAGACAAACAAACAAAAGATAAGCTAACGAGCAATCTTAATCTTCCTTGCCATGGACCCTAACATATTCACAAATTCTGGGGATAAGGATGTGGACATTACTGGGGAGATCTTTATTCTATGTAGCAATAATCACTTCGTAAATATAAAAATGTCTCCTTTACAAACCCTGAAAAATGCTCATCTTCACGTTAATATCTGAAAAAAAATTTTTTTAAATCAATTCTCTCTAAATTAAATCATAAGCATAATGAAATTCTGTTATTCCTATAATATTAAACTTATTCTATGATTTTTAAAACTTGGCTAAAATAGAGATTTGTATATAAGAATAATGCTTGAGAATAGTCAAGAAAAGTGTGAAAATGAAGAATAATGAGAAGGGGGTGTGTCTTATCCAGATATGTGAAACTACAATATCAATATAATTTCAGCATAAGAACTGACAAATAGAAAAATATGTCAGTTAGATCAAATAGAGAATACAGAAATATACACCAGCATATGTGAGAATTTAATAAATGACAAAGAGAATATTTAAATTTGTGGGAAAATTTAATAAATGCCTTAGCATAATTATCCATCAGGAAGAAAGTAAATATTTCTCATTCTTTTTAAAAAAATAGATTCTATTTCTTAGAGCAGTTTTAGGTTCACAGCAAAATTGAATGGAGGATCCAGAGATATCCCATACACCTCTTGCCCCTGAATTGCACAGTCACCTCCATTACTAACATCTCCCACCAAAGTACTACGTTTGTTAAAATCCGTGAGCCTACATTGACCTGACATTATCACCCAAAGTCCGTAGTTGACTCTAGGGATCACACTTGGGTTGTACATTCTATGGGTTTGGACAAATGTATAATGACATGTGTCCACCATTATGGTGTAGTACAGGGTATTTTCACTGCCCTCAAAATCCTGTTCTCTGCCTATTCATCCCTCTCTCCCCTCCAACCCCTGCAAACACTGATATTTTTTACTGCCTCTCTAGTTTTGCCTTTTCCAGAATGTCATATTTGGAAACACACAGGATGTAGCCTTTTCAGCTGTGCTTCTCTCATTTAATATGCATTTAAGTTTCCTTAAGTCTTTCCATGGCTTGAAAGCTCATTTCTTTTTAGCACTGAATAATAATTTCTTTGTGTGGATGTACCACAGTTTACTAGTCCATTCACCTACTGAAGGACATCTTGGTTGCTTCCAAGTCTTCACAGTTATGAATAAAGCTGCTGTAAACATCTGTGTGCAGGGTTTTTGAGTAGATCTTGTCAACTTTTTAAAAAAAAATCATACTTACAGAAAAGTGTACAAATCATAGGCCATACAGTGAACATATCTGTTTAACCTGTAGACAGATCAAGAAACAAAATATGATCATCTCCAGAAGAAACTCTAATTTAAAAAGATAAATGCACGCCAACGTTTATAGCAGCACTATAAAC